TTGGGAAGTTTTATGGTACCTCACTCGAGTGTTTGCTTTAGCTCAACCGCCTACGTTAGTTAGGTAAATTTTTTCCGTATACCCCTTGACCGGCTTCCTCAGCTTGCGCTACACGCCGTCGCTGCACTATGTTTGACAAAATCACGAGGTGGCCAGTCGACGAAGTGACATAAATGCATGAAGAAATTGACTGAGAGACTTGGTCGGGTTGGTACTTGCCGTCTTCATGAATGGGCTCTCGAAATGACGCACGTTAGTGATTGCAAATTGTCTCAGACATAACGCAGTCACCTACTCAGTGACCCCTTGTACCTAGCTCTTAACTTTCATTCCATCCCGATTAATTTAACAGACATTCTTCTTGATTCCATTTTCTTCGTGTTCTGTTTGTTTTCATTTTCTTAACACTTCTTTTTGTTGTTTATCTTGTGACGTGAGTCGTGGCAACTGGATCCATCGCACTTCGTTGTCCGGATCATAGTTTTATAACTGAACCTAAGTCTTTTTCTTCGGGTTCGTTTTTTGCGGTGCAACACAGCTCAACTCAGGTCATCCCAAACAAACTCATTGCTACCTGTTTATAGAGCAGGGGCCCTTCATCTTTACTATCCTAATTTATTATAGTTATTATTCATTTTGCTTAACTATGTCATAGGCTTTTTCGGAATGAGCTCTAACTTTACAACTCATGTACGCGATTATGGCCATTTGGTTTGCCTGGGAAAAAATTTACTAAACATTGCTTTCCTAGTACCAGTATATTGTTGTTATCTCCATATTAAGCTAACGAAAGTCGGTCGTGTTGTATGCCCGTTTGGCACACTGTTCGATTTGCCGGCGTGCAAACCCCGTGTGTTCCCGTGATCCAATATAAGAAACGAGGTTATTATCGAGTTGGCAGTCATATCTGTGATCCGCAGTGTCCTCCACCTTGTCGCACTTTTTTGCCCTACATTGGGCTCCATGTGAAATTCAGTAAAGAGGAGGAATTCGAGTTAAACAGCTACGTGGGTCGTTCATATCCATTTTGGCGCTTCTTTCCCATTTAAGACCTATTCCCAATGTGTAAACTGTGTATGTGATACTAACTGGAAACTGTCGTGTTACTGCTAGAATATAGTACTGTCTTGCTCTGCTTAATACAGTTATTTAGCATGCCAGACCACAAGATGACCTTCCACATGGAACAGCATATTAGGTTGAAACCTCCAGTAATGGAAGACTTAAGCCCACTTGCACTGTTGAAGATTTCGGTCACAGTTCGGTTGTGAAACCTGATCTATCCGCTTGACAGACGTGATGAGGCTAGTTACGTTCTACCACGGATACTTTCGCAGCTTACCCCACATCTAGTGAGCAATGAGTGTTTTTCGCTGTGTTTAGGGCAGGAAGGGAACCGCTCAATACCATTATTTCACGCACCAGGCCCCCCGGTGGTCGAACGATGTGCTGCGCACGCCAGCACACCGTCTCACTGGGGGCGCGTTGTTCGCGTGACCGGGGTCGGTGGAAGGATAGGAGCGGAGACCAACGGATGACATGTTCAAGGGGAATGAAGACCCTCACTCCTAATTCGCTCTTACTTGCCGCTTCCCGACTGCCAGAAAAACCATGAACACTTGGTTGGATACAACTGTTGATATGTCAAAGCCGACCTAAGTGGCGTTTATGCTACGAGTTTCTTTATCTCGCCCCATCCAGCTGAGCCACTCTCTCCAACCACGATCTCGTCATCAATACATGCTATGAAGTGATGCATAATATTATTTTTGTTTTTTTACTTTTGTCGTCCTTCATTTATCGTTTCATATTTTTACTACCATCCAATTGAATTCTTTGCGGTGCACAAGGTGCGATATTTCCTATCCCCTGTGTACCGTGTAGAATAATGATAATGATGCCTGTGATTGGACACTTATTCGCATTTGGATAGTGCGAGTGGTTCAAAGATAGGTACTGATGACCCCATTCGGGATAAATCCCAGTCCACAGCTGTCATTTTTAGGGACATTCAGCGCTTTTAACAGGGTACCGTTGACATCCATTGAAGAACCTGTCGCGCAATTGCAAACGTGTTTGAAGGAGTAAACATGACGATTTGTAGCCATTTGATGTTCCGAAAAGTGTGTGCTGCTTGATTTCCAAAACTAATTTCCACTTTTCATCGACACGGAGGAGTTGAACTCCGCACTGAATCGAAGGACCTTTATGAAATGGATGGTCAGTATTTCATAAACCAGGTCGTCCCATATTATAAACATAGGTTCACCATTTCACATAACTTCGTGTCTTCCACCTGTTTGGAAGCCTAGAAGATTTCTTCCAGGGCTTACGTTTCCGCAGCGTTGGTGATGTGAGGCAGGTTACCCTAAACTGGTTTGGACATACTGACTACCGTTTACATGCTGAAGCCCTCTAAGCAACGGCGCAACGCTGGGAGAAATGTATAACTATGTTATAGAAGAGCATTCGGTCGATACTTCCTGCAAACCGTATATTTTTATTTAAAAAACCCAACTGACTTGAACGCTGTCTCGTAATAAGCGCCACAATTTGATATCCACTTTCTGCTATGTTCATCCATATCTTGACGACGCTATGGCAGTGTTGTTATTAATAGCGAAAAGTGAAAGTACCGTTCCTTTAGCCTTTATGATACAATTACTCCGCCTACTCCATAGCTGATGTCTGGAATCCCTGCTAAGCAGACTTGTCATCAGCTAGCTAAATGCGAGACTTGAGCGCCATCACTTGCTTGCGTGCGAAACGTTTCCTTACTTAAATGAGCAACGTGTATTTCATATCATATAAAGAAATATGATGAATGTGGGTGGACTCCTTTCGTCCTATCATCTTTACTACGAAACTGACCACAATGAACTTGACAACACCAACGCGGGATCATCGAGTATAACGATTACAGGTTGGAGCTTTCGTCGATGTGCCACTTGTTTATGAACTTAGAGATCCGCAACGCTCGCATTCCCGCATTCCTTGTGCGTCCATTAAAGCAATCGGTTCAAAACTGTTATGAACATCCTAGTTAGGTTTCCACTATTCTAGTCGGAAGTGACGAACTGTCACTCGTTGGTTCCCACGCGCTTAGCATCCTAGGACGATTCGAGTTGGAACGGCTAGTAGACTTATCCGTCGGATGTGAACTCGTATCTGAGGAGGCAGATGGAACATGTAAACGCCGCACGACTGTACTAAGACCCGGAGAAAGAAGACTGGCCATTAGTAAGAGTGCTTTTACTGGCTCAGCGAAGGCAACCGTGCCTTCTACAACTTCCTATTTATAGTTCCCTAAAACGATAGTAAATCTATAAACTACAAAGAAAGACGTACATTTGTTGACACATGAGTTGCCATATAATTACCTATCTCCGCGCAAGATGGCTGGGGCCGATGCTGTTAAGACTTTAAACAGATCACTGTTGTTTTTCCTGCTCCGTAGCTAAGGCATTGGCGTGAATACCGCTCAGGTCGCAGACTGCTAACTTGGGGGTACGATAGTGACACTGGGGCGAGTTGAGTGGAAACTTTGCGGGATGCGTTGGCCGCGTTCTCACTGAAGACAACTCCGTTGTGATCTGCGCAGATGAGTGGACCCTTGGCAGCAGTTTCTGTAATTAGAGCTCCGCTCTGGACTGAGTATTTTGGGTCTCTGCATAGCAAGCGTGTTGTCCGGGCCCAATAATGTATTGTCGCCTCTGAACTCCGGGTTGTGTCAGCCCAGTGGCAAAAACCGACTGGGACTTTTTTATAGTTTTAATGTACTTATGAGTAGGGGATTTTTATGTAATTAGGTGAGGTTCTTCGCAGCTAGTTTCCAAATCAGATAGTCGTTGCCTCATTCGTTAGTTAATAGGACACTGCTAGCCACCAAGATACTTCAGTTTACATACATGGCTTCTAAGGTGCTTCCTATAGACACACTCAAGCTAGAGTGTTGAGGTGCCTCTACGTCGAGAAGGCCACAGAGAGCAGGCGTCTGGAGCGGTCTCTTCCACACGGATTCAGTCAACAGCTTCTTGAATTCACATGATAACAGGGGCTCAGTATCGTTTAAACATTTCGCACTGATTAACGCCTTTGCTTTTTCATTGGAATCTGACTTACCTCTTTTCATTGGAACGTTAGCTGTCTATTCTGCCTTACTCCAACCTCCACACATTGCGATCTGCGTTTTCCGGACAACGCTTATCGGTTGAGACGCAAAACGGCCGTTGTTATTCGCTTTCAGCAGACTGCTCTGAGCAACTTCTGCTGGTTCTTGCTGCATATGTTAATGCAATGCTCTTGTTTGACTGACAGATTGTAGATAAGCCAGGCTTATGAATTTGTTTCCACACTGGTCTGTCCCTCATTGTCCTCGCATGAACGCCGCATGCGCGATCCCCATCGGTCTGATGTGTTTCCATCCAGGCCTTGAGGTCATAGGTCCTCACCGAGAGCTGGGATGACTAGCGTTCGCCAAACTGTCCTCGTCGCTCCGTGCATGTGTAGGAGCTCGAAAAGTTTGGGTAGGATGCTAGGGGAAGGGGTATCGTTTATATCATGCCCGCAGGATCCTTATCGTCTTCTTGATACGGCACCTGCGTATTGTGCGCACGGTGCACCGTGTTCAGGCGAATAAGGTGCGTCTTATGTCATGCTCAGGTAGCCACTTTAACTAGGCATGGCAACCACATAGTTTCCTTTGGAGTCCAGCTGCATGAAGTGGAGAGGTTCATCTCAACGTAACTGGTTTGCATAGCGTATTTTGTTCCTCCTTACATGCCCACGACAGTGATTCTATCGAGAACACCTTCATTTTGTCGCGGTATTCTTCTTTTTTGGGTCCTCATCCTGACCATGCCATTGTGCTTGTTGGGTACACACTTTTTACTCGGAATCAATCAGTCTTCCGTTGTTCGGCTGTCCCTTTCTCCTGTTGAAGAAGCTTCTGTGTTTTTCAAGATCCGTCATCGGTTCATGATCACCTTTTCCGCTTTCAGCTCTGATTCCACAACTTCTTCCGGATGCATGCTTGATGTACATGTCATCATGGGACCACACCATTCGAGATGGAGCGTGTCTAGGTGCCCTATCGGGTTCGAATCCCGAGCATGGAAATCTTCCAGCTTCAATGGACACCGCAGCCATGGAGACGGAAACAACAGACTGTCCATCACAAGTATGTGTATAGAACTGTAATCTTGTGAGGCAAGCCCTCGCACGACGTTTCCCATGTTGGCTTCGCACGGTTGTACTTTTAAACTTAAATTGCCTTTAAGAGTGAAATATCGTCACTTTGTTCACCTCTGACAACCATTTTACCTATTTGCTATCCTTTTTATCTAAGACTAGTCTCCCAGTCGGCTCAATTTTAATGCGATTGCTTCGCAACAGAAAATACCTAGCCAGCCCAAGATCATCTTCGCAGATTTAAAACCAGATTATGCTTCAGCTAAAGGATCATCTCATCGGAACTTTCTAAAGGATGTCACTGTTCACGGCGCAGCTTGCGACCATGATCACGCGATCAGTCTCCTTTCCTATCGAGGTTTAAGTCATTACTTTAAAACTGATGCTACTGTAAAGTGGTTTGTCGCATTCGTAGTCGAGTTGCTGCTGGTTAGCACGAATTTCCCCACCACAACAAGACAGTGTCTTCGATATCTTCTTTTTGTCTAGTTTTTGATCCTTTTTTTCTCGTACCAACTGCTGCACATGCCATCGTTTGCTACTTAAAACGTTTACCATTCGCCGGTCCGTAGCCTTATAGATCACAAACCTGCCATGTAATCCGAGGGCGCAGCTTCATACCTGCGTAAGGACCTGCCGACCTTCGCAGTATGCTTAGCCCACATGCGACTAGTGGTGATTGCGCGGCAGCGAAGCGTCGGTACTGTGTACCGGCTTACTGCTGATGCTTTTTACCATACAACTTAATATGCGTTGATTACCAGGCACTTTCTTAATGGGTGCTCACGTTAAACCATATCTAATGAACAAAGATGACAATCCAGGTTTTTTGTGTTGCTACACTAGAGCTGGACCAATTTCACCCTCTGGTTCAAGTCGCTATTTTGTAGGCGCACTGGTAAGGAACTTATCTACTGTAGTTGCCATTTACCGGATTTCACTCGATGCGGTATTAGGTCCAGAATGCACACTCTTTTGATCGTGTGGAGTTCACCTGCGTGAATAATCAGTGTTATTCTCTAGCACCGATTTTTCGGTTTCATTGTCCCCGCCCGTGCTGTCTGACCTTTCTGCTTCGTTTGCTTATCACAGCATCAGTAGGTAACTGCGCCTTAAACTTTACCGATTCGAAACTTCTCGATACTAAAATATTTGTGACTGTCACTATGTATGCCACCAGTAACTTCCACCATCGTGTTGAACGTCTGTTTCCCCCACTAGCCGCTCAATCCATTATCTTGCTGGCCTAACTCTTCTATTGGACCAGACGATGACAATGGTGCTACTTCTGATGCGCATGGTCTGGGAGTACTGTTGCCACAACTCAACTTGCCGGCAAACTTACCAGCGGTAATACATCAACCAGTTGCTCGATTCACAGTCAAAGATCCGCATTTGTTAGCTCCTCCTGGATTTATGATTCCGCGTGAGTTCCACGCGGTCTTTGGCCACTGCGGATATCAATCTTGTCTTTCTTGTTTTCTTTTTATCTTACTGGGGACGAGTTTTTATGGCAATTATTTTATACTATTGAAAAACCATGTGTTACAGAACCGTTGGCTAGGGCGTCGCTGTTTTCATACTCCTATCGCTGACTTTTGCTTACGTTGAATATTCCTCTTACATATGGTTACGGTGGGCGTCCCGCTTACTGTCAATCAACCATTACGAGCTTAACGATGTCCACACATACGCCCTTTTTTCATACTTGGGCGTTACTTGGTAGTATTTTGCTGGGTTTGACCCACGTTCTCCGTCACCGATGCTCCACGTAAGTAGTTGTTATCGTTTCGGTTTTGATTGTGATATCACATCAGCTTACTCTGGGACGCAGATTTTCAACTTGCCGTACAATTCTCTTTGTTCATCTTTTGGTGAAGCTTTGTTTATCAAGGTAGCATATTTGGCGACTTCCCAAGAAGAATTCTAATAAACCATAGGTTTTGTATGTCACCTTCCGAACGCATTGCTTAGGTTGCACTTTGATGCAAGTTGACATGGAGCATAGACTTGTTAATGAGCGAGTTACATCTACAATGCAAAAGTCCTTATCCACTGACCTGTGTTAGCTAAACCTTCATTCTATTTATTCGGTCTTCCATGAATTGACCCGCCTATCGCACAGAGTCGTATTGAATTAAATGTGATTAGCCCTTTTTGGTTTTCTTTCACGTGATTCTCACAAGAGCCTCATGTTGTACTTTCCTTTTCTCTCACTCTGAAGACTGTTCCAGCTTTCCCCGTCGTTCATCCGATGGTGCGGCTGATTTACAACCACTTCATCGTCCGGTGCTTACCGTTGGAGGGAGTTATCCAGAACAAGCCAATTATCGCTCGAAGGTAGGTGATATCCCGCTGCTTCATCCTTGCTGTTATACTTTCCGCAGTGATATCCGTTTGCTCTTCCTTAAATCATTGAACCGTTTATTTGATATTAAAATTTTTTAACTGGATTTATAGATCAAAAGTTCAGTACATTACATGTCGAGGGCTGTATGGCTTTTTGTGCATGTCGTGGTCACTTTCAGCCATGGAGCGATCACATACCTAGTGAGGTGCGTCATTTACGTTTAGACAGTTGCCCTCCGCTGTCGCCCATGAATCAGTGTGTTAGGTCGCCGGCTCGCTAATGGTAAGCCATGGGCTCATATCAAACATGATTCGTGTGAGATGTACACTGATAATGGGTCCTAACGAGATACAACGACCATCCAGCACTTTTCGGAATGTGTGGTAGTTTTTGGTTGTATCTGGCTACAACGAACAGCGACGAATTTGGTCACCATTGGATCGGACGCCATGGACCACCGGAGTGGCCAGCTCGCTCACCAGATTTGAACCCCATGGACTTTTTCTATGGGGCTATCTGAACATATCCTTCACTAGCGTAGATGATCGTTCTAATACATTTCTGTTAATATACTTAGCCACTTTCACAAATATGTTAACGACTAAATTTGTCCACTAGCAACTGGTGTTAATAATGCGTCCGGTTTGATAGACTTCTTAACGTCCCGGCTGTCGTTGAGCACATAAACAGCGTATGCACCGAAACGTTCGATGGCTACTTATGGCGGAATCACTGAGTCGCTATGAGCTGAGGTTCGTCCAACCTTAATGAAAAGTCGACTGTGTTGTTGACTCAGTTTCTGGCTATTGCCTCTGAAGTTAGTGTTCGGGATGAGTTGCAGTAGGTGACGACATACGGAAGTGGGGTCATTCCGTATCTGGTAGACTAATATGTGGTCTCCACGTAGCCACCTGTAACGTCCACTGAACACTCCGAGTGCTTTTAGTCGCTGCTGGTAGGAACGGTTGCACAAGCTATTGTCACATTTTGTTGCTCGACTATGGGGAGTTTCGAGCGCTGCAAAGTCACGCTTTAGCCAAGCGTACCAAGCCTGGATTGCAAATTTCTCGCACCGTTTTAGCAGAATGTGCAGATGCGCCATTCTGCTGCCACCAAATGGTATTGCATGCCCCTTCGGCCTCCAGCTGTGGAAGCACAAATGTCTACAACATTTCCAAATACGACAGTGCTTGGAAAAGATAATGCTTAGTACTTCAAAACAACAACCTACCGGTCACATTCCCGGAAAAGAAATATGAGCCCAAGATTTTCTGGCTTGCTACTCCAGCCCAAACCATCAGTTTCACATTGTGGTACATACGTGATGCGGTATATTTTCGTGGGTTGCTGGTAGCCCGGAATAACTATTATTCCGAGGATTGCTCGATTAATATTTCTTCTCGTATCGATTTTGAGCATTCTGCTATTTCCTAAGACTGCACGTGATAACCCAACATCCACTATATTGACTTTACTATTCAAGAAGACTAGGGTTATTTCATTTTATCAAAACGGCCAAGTTTTGCTTCTGTTATACAGTGTTTTAGACGGCGTTCCGGTTAATACGTTAGTTTGTCGAAGTCATTTGACTTCTGCTTTCTCCTTCGCTTAGGCTAGAAAACCTGCCGAGGTCATTAGTGTTTTGTTCCAAATCGCGAAAGAAGTGGAAGACCTAACTAATGGCAACGGAAGTGGGATCGGTGCAGGGAGAAGAACCGGTTGGTCACCTCCTCCAGGAGGCAATCGCTCATGTCGCCAGAACACTGTCAAAAGCTGAAAGAAATTATAGTCAGATCTTGAAGGAAGCATTGACCGTATTGTTTGTTGTGAAAATATTCCACAAGATGCTAAACGCTGCCAGCTCACGCTTTTTACGGATCACTAGCTGTTACTGGCTATCTTCGGTTCGCAAAAGGATATCTCTGCTGGAAGACTTGCAAAGAGCTTCTGTGTTTTATACAAAATCCCAAACAAGATGGAATATCTAATACTCCATTTTTATTATCGAAATACTACTTCACTCCAGATTCAGTACTCTCCGATGTTTCATACTTACTTTTTTTCAAAATCTGCTTTTCACCATACGGCCTATATCATGAACTACAATAGTTAATGGCTGCGCATCTGACAGTCTCCGTTTGTTTGATTTGCTGCTTCCCCGCTGTTTACCAAATAAATCACCCGGTGTTTTCGGGGTACCTCAACTCGACTGATCTTGTTATAAACTAGACAGCCATTCCGACCAGAAGGACGAAACTGCTCGTAGAGTAAATCGTTTGGAGTGGTTCCCACCTCGGTTTCGCGTGTTTTAGATAACCCCCCAGCCATCGAACCAACCTGGTTTAATTTAGCTCGCATCGCGGTCCAAACTTCTATTGCGGACACCATAGATGCTTCTAATGCGTGGTACTAAACAACTATTCTAGGCTGCTTACCTTATCGCTATTAACCAAGTCCCTCCAATTTGGGCCTCAGTTAGTTGCATCTTTGGCCGGTTGTCACCATACATTTTGCGCGACTTGACACTGGCACCTTGTTTTTATACTCTACCGATCGGTGTAGAATCCTGCGGCCTCTTGTTCCCCCGATCCTCGGTTTTGTCCACAAAGCCATGGGTGATCGAACAAGTGAAAGCTTCCTTTTTCATTCTTGCTTCTCGGAGATTCCAATACGTGGATGGTTATAATCGAAACATCCTCTGTCTCGGCCGCGTCTAACTGATTTCCCCGTTTCTTTTTTAGGTCTGTCCTATTATAAGCCTTCGCCGCATTCAGTTTTTCAATCGCATTTTTGTTTTCTTCTTTCACATATGCTTTTTTCTTCCTTTGTGTAGCCATCTGCCTCTGAAAAGGACGCAGATGCCTTGAGCGGTTCAGTGATCGTACAGCCTGCTTCTGATGTTGACACTCCCCACCTGAGCACCGCCACACAAGCCTCGGAATGCGCGTCCCACACTGCAACCAAGGCACCTAGAGATCCATTGATCCGGAGTACAACTGCCCGTTCGTTCGACACAAGTTCTTATCCAAACAAACACCCCCGGCACGTGCTTCGGTTTTCACACTCACTCGGTTTCAAGCTACGTGGCTCATCGGCTGTCTCATATCGCATTCCAACAGGTGTGCTCGCCGCACAGCATCGCACTTTGTGCACCGCTCTGCGGGCCACTCGCACGTGCACCTCAACCACACGATCTTGGTGGAGACCACCAGGTCGTCGATGGACTGCGGACCAAAGCGATGGCGATTCCGAAAGCTTTGTGGCTGGTCCGAACTCCCTGGACGCAGATCCACAAGTCAGCAGATACCAAAAGCGATTCAGCTTACCAAACACGTCTCGCTTCATCCCATCATTCGTTTCGCGTACGTTCCGTATGCAGAACATTCGTCGCCTGCACTTAGTATCAACCGTCATTGGTTTGCATGTGGCGGTTCACAGATGCCGTCTACCGTTGACTTTGCATATTTTCTCAATTTGGGCATATATATCAGTTTTCCCCTTAGCTGTTTGGAATGACGTCTCGAATGCGTCTTAATGATGCAGCGCAGTGAACGAGATATGCTGTGTTCATGCCTCTAGCTGTCCTGTTTCCTTTAGCCGAATTCAGGCAGATAGCGGAAAGAGCGTATAGACTGCGAAATTAAGGGTCCAAATACGAATATTTTGTAGCAGTGGATCAGATGTCTCGAGATGCAGTGCTTCAAATGCTTGCCTTACATCCTTCGTGCCCCGAGTTCTAGTTCCCAATCCTGCTCGATTCGAGCTTCCAAACGATACCTGAGCCTGTGTAAAACCGTTTGCACTTGCATAATAATGCAGCATCAGTGCAATGTACGGGGATAGTGCTGATGTTCTAGCTTCGATTAGCCAACTGCATGTAACGGCGTCTTACTATGCCTACTTTGGTTCTAACCGCTGCGTTGGCCATTCATTCTTTCACCAGCACTATTCCTTCCATGTCACTGAAGGTCCTGACACCTTGCCCAGCCGAACATATCAACAACATACGTGATGCACTGAGACACGCGGTCATGACATGCGGTTGGTATGTGGCCTAACCGTTGGGTGTTACTTGTTCCATTCTTCTACTGACCCATTGAATCGTTAATCACCTTATTTCTGATTCAGTTCGGGTACCAAAGCGGTTAGGAAAGCAAGTCGCAAGTGCGCTTATGTTAACTACTTACATATGTCCTTCCAGACAGCTTGATGTTCGCGCAAAAGCCGTCGGTTTATTTGTACTACTGCTTCATTACGTAAACTTAGGTGTTCTAACAATGTCCGGTTTGTAGCTAACTCACACCCGTTTTTCACTTCATAGGGTTTGTGTCTCACGTACACGTCCTCCTCACTTGTATCTTTAATGTGTACCTTTCACTTACATTAACTTGGAAACTTGTAACTACTACCGTCTTGTTTGGACCGAAAAGTCGGTCCTTCGTGGACCAGCGATTTGTTCAGCAAAGGCAGCTAAGCGAAAATCTCAGCACATTTGGCCCGCCAAACCTCTAAATATGTAGTGTTAGTCCACTTCCATTAACAGCGACTTTTGTCGGCCTATAAGGTTCCTTCTTTGACTTAGTTAAACAAGTTAAGAGGAAATTCGATCCATTAGGTAGAATCGCCTAAACTGACGATCACACCTACTGCGTTTAGTGACCGAGCCCGTCAGCTTCGCCTTCCATTTTCTGCCTAGGTCCTACCTTAACCCATCTGTTCACTTTGATTTGACACTATTTTCACAATTCACCGTTCTCGTGAACCAAACTTCACAACCATGCACGACTCACTGACTAGACGAGATGAATCGATGAATCGCTGTGTTAGAACAGTGCGTTGTTATTGCAGCTTGTATTCATTGTTATCCGTATCACTAACAATGATTCATATGCACCTGGTGTTTGCATCTACTCTTATTTTTCCACCGGCCAGTGTGCCACTTTGATTGGGGGAGCGCTGATGCAACTCGCCTCTTGCTACCATAATTCGTTGTGTTGATGAAACAGGAGCCTTCACGGCATTGATGCTATAGTACCGTCGTCAACCGCCTAAGCCAATGTTGCTTATATTTGGAGGGTATTATTCCTGATGACTCGTGACCTGGCTGCTACACTGGTTAATTGGAAAACGACCACAGCACGCCAGTTAACCGAGTCCCTGGACTAGATGCATCAGCGACAAGCGAACCACCAACCGCATCAACCCGGTTCAAACTTTCTCTACTCGTTATGTCGCAGAATTCGCCATCACAGTGTTTGTATGACTTCAGCGACAGTTGTTACTCTGATTGATGTCATCCTTGTTTAGATGTCTTTCAGTGTCCCCCTTATGTGAAGGTCACGTTTGACTTTGAATTATACTGAACTACGCTGTATATCTGTTCCCCTTCTGTCCGACCACTGCATCGATCGTGCTTAGGCTATCCTGAACGGGCCTTCGCACCCACTGAACCGAGCAGCTGATCGCTTGCCTTGCGCAATTTGTGTGTATTTTAATAGCGAAGTCCATTACTTGAATACCTAACCGACTATCCTGTCCCTCTGTGAAACGCTGTCCGTCGGTTCTGCTCTACTGGTACTTCGATTGTCAGCAATTCGCTCAAATCCTGGGACGCAGAGAACGTCATCGGCACCAAATGGCATGTCCGTTAACGCCGACTTATTAGAGAGTCGTTTTGAACCACTCCTTGCGTGGTTGGGTTGCAACACGCAGTCTCGATCTGGACCCCAATTGAAGTGAATCCATCATTTTGGCCACTAGGACCTTGTCTGAAACAGATGCATATCAAGTACTGTCCTCTGGCAACTCTATACCCCATGACCAGTTTCGTAATCTTTTCCACTCTTCAGGTAAAGAAACCTTAACTGCTATCTTAACAATGGACGTTGGAACTAGGTATTGAAGTCCATACGCCCCTCGGTGGCATACGAACAAAAACGAGACCGGTCGCGGGATGCGAGCCAGCTACGCCAAACATTTATCCAACACTGACTCAGTTTCATCGCGTTTCTGCACCTCGATTACAGTTAACTTAAAAATCTGAACCCGTGATTGCTGGTGCTTGCACCAATAGCCAGCAACTTATGCCGTTGAGCCTTGGATAACGATAGGTGACCACCGTAGATTGACATCTAACTGCAATAGAGCCCGACTCATCTTCCATTGCCATACAATTATCGCCCTCCAATGGCTCAGTGGCATAAGCTGCTGGCAAGTGCTGCAAGTCACTGGTTGTAATGGTTTCGGTTCCCCAGAGGGTACCGAAGAAATGTCCAGCACTGACGAGCCCCATTAGAGTGAAAGGGTCCTTTGATGCTTTTCCAGATTGGTAATTAATTTATCTTCCTTGTAATATAATTGTCATGAACTAACTGGATGTTAGCAAATCCCCCTACTCATAAGTAACGAATGTACTGTGCCGAACTGCGTTCTCCTTTTCAACACCGCAAACATCGTTTTCCGCACGGACCACTTGCGTGAGCTTTTAATTCCGGCCTGATTACGTAGCATCTCCTCACGATAATTTCCACTGTCATTCGAAAGCGGTCTCATATCTCATTTTTTCAGATGATGCAAATGCTACATCCCGCCTTGCTGAGTGCATTTGCCACTTTCCTCTGGGTCCAGACGCAATCAATCAGATCCAGAACATCTTATCCCAGCTGTCCGTGTGCTATTCAGCTTACTCTGAGCACTTTCAGAGTCCTCACGTTGTAATCAATGAAGTCATGTGGGCAGTTGAGGGGAAAACTGTGGGTCATGGCAGTGAAAACAGCCAACTGTTAACATGGAAGCGCCGTTCGGATCAGGTGAATGCACCATCTTCCACAAATAGTCGTAGAATTCATAGCAGTCTTTTCACTTTCAATGAACCCACTTATCCACCGTTTCCGTCTCATTATTCCAGTATCATGGTTTGTCCGATGCGCAGATGATTGCTCCTTTTGCATTTACCACCACGCAGCACTCGCATTCCACCAGCCCAAACTCGACTCATGGAACTGGTTCTATTGGCGACCGGATGGCCGAATCCACCAGCGATACGACAAATCTCGAGGTACTTAAT